CTCAATGCTCCTGAAGGGACAGCAAAAAGGAATTTTGTGTTATCCTGGAACTAAAAATCCTCATATTTTGTGTACGGGGAGAGCTGATGGCAGCTGAAAGCTCGGGGGAATCACATCCAGGCAGAATCCCAAAGAATTCCTGTCTGCTGGGTGACAAGGCTGGAATCACATCCTCATCCTGCAGCTCTCCTGTGCACAGTGGATCATCTGCTCTTCCAGTCTGTCCCATAAAACAGATATTCCCTCTCTTTCCAGGGCTGTTTTCCTGGAAGATCTCCCAAACATGCTGCAACATCTGCAGAACCAGCCAGGCACTGGGTTGTCAAGGATCCTGCTGGGATCAGGCAGGCAGCCTGAGATGTCTGGAATTCCACTTATCCAGAGGCTCCCCCACCTCTGCAGCAGCTCTGGGGGGTGCAGCTGCTCCAATTTGGGGGGTTTGGAGTTAACAGTCTGCTCTGGAAAAACTGGGATCACGATGGGAGAGAAGCCCCCAGGGCTATGAGCTGTTGGTGCCGTTGGGATTGTACACCAAACAAATATTGTACCCTCTCCACAGCTGGGAATTATTTCAGTTTGCCAGACCTGGGTTATATTTTTAGGAGAATTTTCTAATTAGTCTTGGAGTTAGTAATGGAAAAATGGCATTGGAGTGGCTCAGATCTGCAGGAGGAGCTGCAGCAGCAAGAGGAGCCCACATCAGCTCTGCTCTCCAAGGATCTGGGGAGGCACAGCCCTTCCCTCCTGCCACAGCTGGGTCAGGATTTCTGGAGGTGCCAGCCTGGCACGTTCTCCTCCAGCTGCAGTGGGAGCCAGCAGGAGGTAGGAAGGGATTTATTCCCTCTCAGTTTGTAAGGAAGCAATAGGATGGATCCGTTTGCCCTGGTTTCTGCATTCCAGCAGCCTCTGATGTGTCCCTGGAGAGCGCTTGGACCTCGGCCTGCAGCACACACAGCACATCCCAGAAAACAAAGCTGCCCAGGCTGCTTTCATCCTGCAAGGATGAAACAGCTCCAGAAACAATGCCCAGGAACAACACCAGCACCGAGGAGCTTCTTTTGTGCTGTTAAAAACCAGCTCAGGATCTGCAGCTCAAATTCCTCCGTGAGCCGGAGGAATTCCTGGGGCTTTTGCAGGGTGTAGTTGTGAGCTGCAAAGGGGAGAAGCCTGGAAACCCACTAAAAATCAGGAGGAGAGGTTCTGAGGGAGGAATTCTGCCCCTTGGCTGGTCCACAGCTGGAGTTCAAAGCCTCAAACCCCACGAAATTAGAAGAAAAAAGAGGCTCAGGAGCCTCATTTCTGCTCTCTCTGTGAATATTCCAGCCCTGGTGTTTCCCTGCCCCTGCTGGAACCTCCATCAGCTTTTCCACCAGCAGCACCAGGAGTGGATGAGGAGGGAAGCACAGGAAATCACGGCTGGGATGGGGCTCAGCTGGGGAGGAGGGTTGGGTTGGACATTTTATGGCCACACCGACGCCCAGCCCGGTGATTCTCAGAGAAGAAAGCAGAAATGTGGCTTTGCTAAGCAAAATTCCTACTTTTTTTTTTTTTTTTTCCAAAGGAAAAGGACTAACCACAGACTGAAGTGCGTCTCCTCCCTCCCCTCCTCCCTGCAGTCCATCCATGTGTGCTCCTAGCAAATGAATATTTAATTAAACATTTCGGAGAGGCTCCAAAGGGAGCTCGGAGGGAACATCAGGAGCAGCCCTGACCTGCAGCTGTTAAAGAGACAGGGAGAGGAAAGAATTCCCTAAATCCATGAGGCAGAGCATTGGGCACATCAGGATCCAGCTTCTGGGACAAAGGGGTGTTTGGAAGCTTTTTGGTTTAGAGATGGAACAGAACAAAAAGTAGCAGGAGTGGAAAAAAGGGGAATAAATTCACTGCAGTGGTGTGGGAGCACCTGGAGGATCCACTGTGTTGGACTTGGAATGTTTCTCCAAGCTTTTATCAGAAAATCCTGGAATGGGCTGGGCTGGGAGGGATCTCAAGGATTATCCAGTGCCACCCCTGGATGGGCAGGGACATCCCACTGACCCAGGCTGCTCCAGCCTGGCCTTGGACACTGCCAGGGATAATCCAGGGGCAACCACAGCTGCTCTGGCAATTCCATCCCAGCCAGGAATTCCTAATTCCCAATCTCCCATCCATCCCTGCCCTCTGGCAGTGGGAGCCATTCCCTGTGTCCCGTCCCTCCATCCCTTGTCCCCAGTCCCTCTCCAGCTCTCCTGGAGCCCCTTCAGGCCCTGGAAGGGCTCTGAGCTCTCCCTGGAGCTTCTCTAGGTGAACATTCCCAGCTCTCCCAGCCCTGGAGCAGCTCCATGACCTTCATGTTCCTCCCTTACTCCTGAGTAAGAATCCCCCAAACTGTGTCCCTGCTGGAAGCCCAGCCTGGATTTCCAGTGGGAAAACCTTCCTGAGCCAGGGCAGGGCAGAGGGAGTTTGTGCTGGCTGATTTTGGGGTGCCTCAGTGATCCAAAGCCACCTCCAACTCCTGCTGGAAGGTCCAGCAGCTGGAGCAGCCAGCCTGTCCTTGGGAATGGCTGCACTAATCCCACCACCAGGTGGGCACTGGGAAAAGGCATGGCCAGAGGCAGAAGCAGCACAGGGTGGGATATTTTCACAGCATGACCCCAGACAAATGAATGAAACGCTTGGAATTCCAAGCTGTGGGTGTAGGAGGGAGAGCTGGAATGCTTGAAACAACATGGACAGAGGACTGACAACTCAGCAGGTGCTGCTGGCATCTCTCTTGGGGATTTTGGGAGGGAATTCTTCCCTGTGAGAGTGGGGAGGGGCTGGGATGGAATTCCCAGAGCAGCTGGGGCTGCCCCTGGATCCCTGGAAGTGCCCAAGGCCAGGTTGGATGGGGCTTGGAGCACCCTGGGACAGTGGGAGGTGTCCTACCCATCCACTGGATGATCCTTAAGGTTCCTCCCATCCCAAACTGGTCTGTGATGGTTTTGATCTTTCCTAATATGTTTTAAAGCTCTGTAGGGATAAAGAGGATTTAAACAGCTCTTTGCTATGGAAAATCCACACCGATGGATAATTATTCACAGGAATTTTATAAACAATGGTGAGGATTTTATCCAGGATAAGACTGGGATCATAAACCTCCTTGCCTTGTCTCCCAGAAATGCGGGAATGCCAGGATCTGGTCATCTCCTCCTGCCACAGTTGAATCCTAAAAGCACTACACCCTGCACCCCAAAGCAGCTTTGACACAGAATTCCCCCGGGTTCCAGCCCAGCCTCTCACCAGTCTCACCCTGCAGAAGGAACAAGAGCTCCCAAGGAGGACCCCGAGCTTCAGCCCCTCCTCCCGGGGATGAAGCAGCCCCCGTGTCCATGGAATGCTGCCCATCCCCTGGAATGCTGCCCATCCCCTGGAATGCTGCCCATCCCCTGGAATGCTCCACATCCTGACAGGCCCAGCTCCCTGGCAGGTTTCAGGGTGAGTAGGCAGGCAGCACCTTCCCTGTTTAATTAAAGCACGGAGTTAATTCTGCAGTGACTCAGAGCTGCGTGTGGCTCCCAGCCCACCAGCTCCTGCCAGTCTGCAATCCTGAGGGATTCCAGAAATCCTGAGGGATTCCAGCAGCTCCTGCCACTCTGCAGTCCTGAGGGATTCCAGAAATCCTGAGGGATTCCAG